GCGGCGCGGATGTGCTGGTAGGTTTCAAAGTCTCCCTGGTTGGGCCCCGAGGAGGGGAAGTCAACGTCGAACCATTCGCTCCAGGTGCAGATTTCGGGTTCACAGGGGGTGTTAGTTGAATATGTTGTTGTTTTAGTGCTCCTTGCCACTGTTGTTGTAGTTGTTTGTTTTTCTGTTTGCATTGTTGGTTTTGATGTTATTCTGGTGTGGATGTAATCTGTTTTTGGTTCCCCAGTTGTTGTCTTGTGTCTTGTTTGTAAACTTATTGTTGTTGGTTCTGATCTGGACATTGTATTTGGATGCCTTGTAGTTGGTTGTGTTGTTGTAGTCAGAGTTTCAGGGGTTGTTTCACATGGCACTGGTATATTTATGCAGCATTTAAAACGCAGTTCATAATTATAGCAGATGGGTGGCAGTTGATCTTTATTGTAGCATTTTAACCCTTCTTCTGTGTTACACGTTATATGTTGCTCTAGTAGAGGATATGGTGTATTAGGGAACCGTACTGCTCTACATTCCACCTCCTTTCTATTGCTGCAGACTTGGTATCCTTTATTTTTGATGTTCTCAATTGTATCAAAATCTCCATCATTGTAACCTGACCCTGGATAACTGACGTCATACCATCTTGACCAGTAGCATTTTTCTTTGTAACAAAGAGGGATTGTTGAAGGGGATGTGGTGACAGGTGTTGTTGTTTTAGTTGTTTCTTCAACAGGTGATGGGATCAATATACTTTCAGTAGTAACTGAATATGTTGTTTCAGTTGATGTTTCTGTCAGAGTTGGAGTTGTGACTGGGGTTGATGTGCGGAAAGGCCTTGTGGAAGAGCATGGTACAAAAACACAGCAGAGGATTCTGATTTCATAGTTGTTGCACATTGTTGAAATTTGATCCTTGTTGTAACATATAAGCCCCTGTGTTGTACTGCATTCTACTTTCTGGCCAAGGTCTTTCAGTGGTATTTCAGGAAACTTCTCTGCTCTGCATTCAACAGCCTTTGGGGCTTTACAAACCTCATAACCTTTTGCTCGTAAATCATCAAATGTTTCAAAATCTCCCCCATCATAACCAGGGGTTTGTAGGCTCCCATCATACCATTCTGACCACTCACAGACTTCATGAACACATACTGATGTAGTTGGTGACACTGTGAAGGATAAAAGGAAAAGGAAGAGACCATGAAATGAAGAATGAATCCTGTAAATACTTTTTTTTTTTTAAATGGGCTGACAATTTTCCTAATGTTGTCTTGCATTATGCTCCTGTAGTGCATCAGTTTATTTTACTGTGTTGTAGAACAGCAAATCCATCACCCAGAAATTTAATGTAGTGACATGCTTTGAACTGTCACTTCCCAAGGGAATACTAATTATATATTACAAGGTGCTGAAATAAAGTTCAGGTCTAATTTATACACTCTAGAAAAAAAACAAGTCTCACTTGTTTTGCATTCGGTTCTGTGTATTTGCTTTGGTTCTGTCTTGCTTCACCATATACTAGGTCTCTCTGGAATGTATTGAAATCAGTGGAAATAGTTGCTTTTTTCTTCCAAATCAGTTGACTCCTCACTTAGAGCAGAGCAGTCTTTGTTCCTTTATTTCAAACATCCCTACACTTTGTATTTTAGCTCTGATCTGAATAAACCATTTATTGGTTGGAGAGCTTTTGCAGGTAAACTCTCATTATGAAAAAGATGGTAAATAGCTACTGAATTCCAGTAATGCTGATGTTTTCTGTAATTTCAAAATAGATGTATTTTATATTAAATACTGATTTCATAAAACATATGCCTAGAGGAACTTGCGATTCCCAACCTGAAGAATGCTGTACAGGAATTCTAAAAACCTAAATTTTGTTATCTCAATGACAATATCCGAGCAATCCACTTAGTACTGCAAAATATGTTTTTCCTCACTAAACAAGAAAATACAATCTTAGGGGCTACAAAGGACGTACCTGTGGAAGTAGAGGTAGGTGGTGTAGAGCTGAAGTGAAATGTCGTTGCTGTTGTGGGTGATGTTGCGATTTGACATTCATGCATAAGCCTTTGAAGTGTTCCATTGGTCCCACAGATTGCAACAATACACCATCCTGTGCCATCTGTAGTGTTGTAGACCACATCATTGTAGTTGTACTTCTGCCCTTCATAAATGCAGACACATTCTGTAGATCAAAACAGGATGTTATTCCTTGCTACCTGAAACACAGAGTACCCTAAATATGTCTTATTCATATATCAACGACTTCATCAACATACCATGTTCATCATATCTGCATTTTTTGCCATGAATTGTACATTCGCTGAAAAAGAGAAAAACAGATTATGAGTGTGGACATACTGGTTTGTGACATTTTTTTCCTTATAATTTTTCTTCTATCAATCCTCTGCTATTAATTGTGTGTTTAAATGTAAAATGACCCTTGTCTGAGCTAGACAGTCGGTTCTGCTTTATAAACTCAGGCTAGGTATTTATAGTCTGGCTACAAGTTCTCTGGCAAGAAAGGTAGCTCTGCTCTTCTTTGAGCCAGCATATAAAATATGCAGCATCGCTACCAGTGCTTTTGGGAACACAAAAAAAGATGCAAGATAGATGATTTCAAATATTCTTATCTACACAACAGATCTATTTTTTGCAGGGGAAAAGCACAGTATATATATCATTTACATCTAAAAGGATATATACAAAGGATTACTACCATGGATATTGAGGCAATCCACACAGTGAATTTCCATTAGGCTTCCAAAATATGCAAGAAGAATTCTGGTTTGAAGGGCAATTTATCTGTTTAAGAACTGAATCTTGACCTATTTATTTACAGGAACTAAGGACATCTATACACTGAATAAACTGAGATTTGGATAGGTGTTTAATGGATTAGGTTTGGTGCTGTTAATGGCCTAGATGATATAGGCCAAGGCATCTATGAAGTGCAAACCTTGCAAAGGACGTTGGTTTAGCTCCAATGGGCTTTGGCTTAAGATTTTTGCTATTCAGATTGCACTGCTTACGATATTTAAGTGTAGCTTCTTTAAAGGTATCTTAAGACAACTGCTTCACAATTGCTTTTGCTAACTCTGTACTTAAGCCTTATAGAAGGCTTAGCAGGACTTGTCATCGGTTATGTGTGAGAATACGTGCTGACTATTGCAACTATGCAAGTACCCGTGCAATAACAAAAACAAGCTCAAAACAATGTAGATGTGTTGGTTGCTCACTTCTAATGAATTTCACATATGAGTTTAGGTATAGCTTTTTAAAAATTCTCAGGCTCTTCCCTAATTTTTTAGGGAACAAGCTAAATTATTTTAGCTTGTTTTCACTTAATTTAATAATTATAATAATGTTAAAGGACTTTACTACTTATTTTGTGTATTTATTAATCTCTTGATGATGAAATGTTTCGCTGTGTTATCGTTTAATTTCCTGGGAAGGGAAGAAAATTAGACATTGTTCATCAGCCTCTGACTGGCCTAGTTCCTGTTGGTAATTAACAAATTTAATGTGTGATGAATTATGTTCCACAATTTTAAAATCTATTTTAAAATTATTTTCTAATCCTACCATGATTCACAATTCTGCTTTGAAGGCATCTCCATTCCTGGTTTGTAATATCTTCCATCTTCGTAACAACCACAATAAGAAACACAGGTCATGGTTTCCTCATCAAAATAGGGCTTATTCTTTGGACATTGTGGATAACAACCTGCAATTAAAAAAAGAGTCAAGTTGACACTAGGCTTTTCATAATTATAAGTAAGCCTACACTCATAATCTGCTTTTCCCAAAATGTCCCACATGGTAAGTGGAATGTCATATTCTCTTACTGCTGTTCCTTTGATTGTACATTATGCTGTGGAGTATTTTGTCCCCATCTTCATTCCAAACAAGTACATAATCCATTAGGGAATACAATACTAATTAGAAAATCTTTTCTTATAATTGCTTGTGTAAACATGTCATATAGTGAGTAATAAAAATTTTGTTCACCATACTGTATTTTAACCTTTCAACTAGAATGAGATATACATAATTATGTTTACCTTCCAAACCCCTCATCTCATGAAGGCATTTCCCACTTGGATTATTGCAGGTCTTCATACAAGGTGCTCCACATGGCTTGTAGTGCCACTCGCATTCCCCTTGTGGGTTATAGTAATCACAGAAGAGAGCTAGAAGAAGAAATGCCAGAAAAATACCTTTGATGTTTTAGCTCTATACTGTTTCAGTTTTTCTAGGTAAAAATCCAATGGGATCAACATAATCCCATAGGTAGGGAACAATATATTGTTTTATTGTTAAGGCAATACAATTGTTACATTTCTAAAACCTTTTAAAACCAATAAATATATACATAATGGAGTTATACATTAAACATGAAAAATAAGTTGATTGAATCACTGATCTTAGCTTGCACTTATGTTTATTTACATGGAGCCTGATGTAATGTAGTAGTGTATAAAATATCATATTTCACTAGTAGTGTATCATGATTGTCAAGTTAATTAGACACTAATCACACTGCTTGAAAAATTATTGCCTGTGGTTTCATTTAACTAAGATAGATTGTTTTCCAGCAATTTACTCAACTGCTTTGTTGGTGTTTTTTTATGTTTTGTTTGTTTGCTTTTTAAGCACATAGTTGTGCCTCTTAGAAGCACAATTTTATCCTTCCTTTCTTGTTCTCCTTTGTTTCCTTTTTTTCCTCCCTTCTGTTTTCTTTCCCTCTGAACCCCTTAAAAAAGTAGTGGGTTGAAACTCACGACAAATGGATGGGGTTCTCCATGATATGCAGATGTCCAGTTCATTACATGCTTGAGCATAGGCAGCTACTGCTGTGCAGAAACATTCACAGTCTCCTCCAGTGTCACAGGCACAAGCATCATCAACACATGCTTGGTAATATTCATTTGGTTCAACCTGATAGAGAAAACATTCAAGTTTTCATGCCCTTTTCCTCTTTGCACTGTCCTAAAATAGCTGAATAAGATATCTGAAACTCATAGGTGTATGAGAGAAAGCTAAGAAAGGAAGAAATAATGAAAACACCTTGAAAAATCAAGAGGGAAATGTAGAATAAAGCTATTGCTAGTAAACTGCAATATTAAGAATTTTTTGGTGTTGAAGACAATTGCAAAATACTGGAAATTACTACAAGCTAGCACAGAGTCATACATATCAGGTGTCTGATATTTGTATTAGTAGAAAATGATGCCATTAGACAATAAACATATACCGAGATATATCTACTGTTGTTCCTTCTATTAACACAAACAAACTAACCAAAGCAAAACAATCCATTTCTTTAGTATACTTGCTCAAGACCAAAGCTGAGAAAATGAAAGTGAAACTATTTCTATGCAGTCACTCTATGCAGGAATTTGCTCTAACTTCACTTTGTCAAGCATGACAAAACGTATTTTAGAGTATTTGATAATTTATTCTACATATAAATGGATGCAGTCATTCTGTCGAGAATTTAAGACTAAATTTTTTGTCATACCTGTGAGTGACACTTTGCAAACACCTCACTGGTGATGATGCTGCATTGCTTCTGTGCCCAGGCTTTCCTGTATGGGTTTGCAGTGCATGGATCCTGCGTACGATTGGCATTTGGGCAATTAGAAGATACTTTCCAGCTATTGGCAAACTCCAGCACATTTCCTACCACAGACTGAATGCGAGTAGTGAAGTCATTATTTCCATTGCCATCATAGTTTCCACAAAGTCCACAGACATGGCCCTGCATCAAGATAAAAAACCAAAATGACAAAGATCAGTAAGGTACAATTTCTTAGTAGCTGTGAGTAACAAACCTCAGGATGACTCTTATGTAAGATTATTAATGCCTATTTAGTAACAGTGTTGGATATTTTCATAAAGTACTTCTCATGAAGAGAGGTCTCTAGCTTGTTGTTATGAAGGAATGGACTGATGGGTTTTGTTCTAAGTACTGAGCTATTTCATTTTAGCTGATCCTAAATACGTCTCTTCGGTGAGGGTTTTCCATGAAGAAAGCTACTGATAAAGTTGCTGTTATGCCATTGCTGAATAATATAATTTAAGGATAATGCATAGTACACAATTTAAGTCAACATAACAAGGATAATATGATGTTGTTTCTGCTCTTCTGGTTTACAGTCTAAATTTCCACCCTCTTTCTTTAAGAGACAATATGACTATGTTACAGAATTAATTTCATTCATGTTTTCACTGTTAAAGTATACCTGAAAGCTGGGACTAAGTTTGATGAATATACTGGTTTTCTTGTCCCACATGAGTATCAGACCAACAGTAGTATCAACCACCAGGTAGATGCCCATGGAACGAATTTGGAATGGCATTTTTCCTCCAGGTGTCCTCTGGATGACATCAGAGTGTCCATCACTGAGTACCAGCTCATAGTTCTAAGACAGGAGAAGAAAAAGTTAGAGGCTAATTTAGAAAGTCACTATTTTGTAGTTGTATATATTGACGGTAACTTCTTGAAATAATAATATTATCATCAAGAGGATCCTATTCAACAACCTCAGGTTAAGAAATTTCTTTGTAGATTTCCCTCCTTTGCTTTCTAGAGCAGAGAGGAAAAGAGTCTAGTGACCTTTTCATTATGTTTGGGGCCACTTCTCCTATGCAGCCTAGTTGGGACAGCTTGTTCCATCCTTCTGGCACAACTTAAAGAAAATACATACACCCAGGAAAACTTTAATAGACTTAGAGCAGGTAGTTCCTGTAGTGCCACATGGAATGTTCTCAGTGATGACTCTGAAGGTTCCCTGGTTCATAGCTTGTTGACCACAGTAGTTCTGAAACAGGAGAATGACATTCACTGTTTTATGTTACATGTTCATAAGAAAAATGCAAGGTATTTCAAGCAAAAATCTAGGCAGGACTATATTACCTGGACCAGAACATATTCACAGTCTCCTTCAAAATCAAAGCGTTTACCATCAAAGGTGGTATAATGCCCATCTCCATAAACAGAACATGTTTCCAGGCAGGGTTCCTCAGAGCATTGCCATTTTCTGTTTCTACATGTGCTGCACAAGACAAAAAGCACCCCCAATGTAAACACTAGACAATATAAATATAGGTAAACATTAAACACAATATAAATATAGGTACATTTCTCTATTTTAACATCTGTTAAGATTCTAATGAAAAAATAAGGTTTGCTTATTCTCAAAAATGCAACATAGATCAAGAACTATTGGAATTTATCCCAAGACTGTGTTACTTAATGTAATGAATCATCTGCATCAGAAGACACCAATTCTTTCACATTTTCAGATCCTGTTGGATCTATTGAAATAGAAGGACTTCCTTAGAAGAAAGATTTTTTTTTTTTTTTTTACTTGAATGAATAGGACATCAAAACCGTGGTATTTTTCTGACAACTTGCAGTTTCTGGGCCATGCCATCGAGAAAAATAGACAGAATTTGCCTTTTAGGTACTAAGTGGATTATTTTATGCAGGATTCCTTCCTAGAAATCTTGGTACTGCTAGAATGACATGTTATTTATGTAGATCTTAAACTGTTCTATTTCCAAAATATTATTTTTCAATATGTTCTTACCAGTTGTTACAGCCAACTCTGATTGATTCTCCTGGACTGTAGAAATTCCCATTGTGAATACATGGACAGTCTTCTGGAGCAATGCAGCCACCTTTGCCATCCAACACTTGATCATGAGGACATACGCAGCCAGAGACACAGTGAGTTTTGTACTGTAAGGACCATAAAGAAGACATGTCTTGAAACATTTCCCTGGTGGAATAGTCCAGCTGTAGCTGGTAAGTGTAAGAGATATCTTTATTAATATGCTTTTGACTAGGTCAAAAGAGTCTGTACTTACACATTCCATGTCTAGAGTCTGACAGCTCTTCTGGCATCCTGCTCCTACCACATTTGCAGTGACATTGTCACAGTCAACATAAACCATGGGAGGCACACAAACTGAAAGAGAGAAAAAAACATGAGAAATTGAGCCCAACCATGCCTTTGTATCTTTGTGTTCCCAAGAAAAAATGGCAATACTCCTTTATGAATTATGTGCACCTTAGTGTGATGCATGTAGTGAGAGAGAAACCAAACATTGTTTTGATTTCATATTCACCTGGTTTTTGTGATTATGTTTGGACTACTTAATAAAGTTAATTTTTATTTAGCTTCATGAAACACTTCCTTTCAGAAAAAACAGAACAAAACAGGATAACAAATATCCTTGTTTACTTGTTTGACTTTTTATTTTTTTTGCTTGCTTTGGGGTTTTTTTGCTTTTACACTTTAATTAAAATGTGAACAGCTTTTCTCTCACATTAAGTGAGGTGACCAAGTATCCTTTTACCCTGGGTAACCCAGGGGGTTCTAACTTCAACCACCTGAAAGGTAAGACAGTGTTTCTTTATATTTTGAGAATGTCCTCTATATTACAGAAGACCTTAATTCATTTTCTTGGTTGATTTCAGACTTGTACAATTTGCATCATTATGACAAGAGAAGAAAGAAATAAAAAGACTGAAGATGGAAAGGGAGAATTAAAGCAAGTCTAAAGTGATATGTTACCTGGTTCAGGCTTCTCTCCAATGCAGCTCAGCTTTCCATAGGCACAAGTGCTATAAAAACAAGGGAATGGATATTTTTAAACTTCTTCTTGTCAAGTTTCAGCCTATTTCCCAATGAACTTGAAAGAATAAAAAATTACTGTGTAATAAAATAAAACGTGTTTTTTATCAAACAGTTTGCATATTTAAAAATAATATTCTATATTAGAGTAGAACAAAATACAAGTAGATTCTATATCATGTTTGCTCTGTCTATATGCCTGGTTTAAAGTTTTCCTTCAGAATAGTTCAGACTCCCATCAAAATGGGATAACAGAATTATCAGGCATTTTTCACCATGGAACAAGCTTTTTACAGTCACAGATAAGAAAAATATGTGTAGAGGCAAGGGACAGGGTGGGAGTTGGGCTGTTAGCAAAGGCTGACCCACCACAGGACTGTTTGTTGAATTCCAGTAGTTGTTTATGAACAATCTTCCAAATATGGGTAGCCCTAAGAATTAAGAAGCTATGATTTTTTTTAATTGAAAATTTTAGTTATAGAAATTAATTCTATTTCATAACATTTATATGGTTTCATGATTGCCTATATCTAATCTCTTCACTTTTTAAAAAAAAAATATCTCTTACCAGACAACACCATTATCATGAACAACTTCACCAGAAGAGAGAGGCGTTCCTTTGTAGTAACAAGGACAGCTAGAAGCAGGCACACATTTGCCACTGTCATCCATGTAGGTTCCATTTATGCAGGTACAGCCATCAACTGGGACAAACTTGATGCTGCATGTGACATCAGGTTCACTCAGAGAGCGGCAGGTGGGTTGACAGGAATCGACATTGTAGGTGTACTTCAAGGACTTTGGACACAAGGTGGTGTATTTTGCTTGAGAGTAAGAAGGTCAGTTACATTTGTTGTTAATTCAAGAATCAATATAGGTATAAAGTATTTGAGATAAAGTATGTATGATAAATGTGGCGTTGTATGCACACATGCTTTACTGATATGCCCAGTAGTGTAATTTTTTGTAGTACTAGAGCAAAATTTTCCCTTATAAATGTGTCATATGTTTTGCCCAAGTTAAAAAAAAAAGAAAGTTAAATTATGATAAGACACAGTATGTTTCTTCCTCTATGCTATTTTTATACTTCTTGTCAAAGTAAGTTGAGAAACACCCTACTTATTTTATTCCTATTGCAAGGGTATTTCTCTTCAGGTTTTTTCTTATGGTTCTGAGCAAGTAAACTAACAAAGCCCATTTTTAATATTTCTTCTTGTTTCTTGTTTGTCTTTTATGGCATTCCTTTCCTGCTCAGCTTCTTTGAAGTCAATACTATACTTCAACTCCAGTTTAACACAATTTACTGTGGAATCCCTGAGAGTTGCTGTGTGGGGCCTTCTAGGTGATCATTTTCAAAAGACAAAAGGGATGTAAAACTTACTGCAGGCTTTGCTCCTCCATCCAGTGAGAAGAACTCCTTTAGCAGCACAGGCTCTGACATAGCTGGAAAGGGCAGCACACATGCAGTCCTCACTCTTCTCACAGTTACATGTGTCAAACATGCAGGTCTAGGAACAGAGGATGATGTGGTCATCAGAATGCTATTTCAAAGCCATGGAACTCAGCAGTTTTTAAGAATTACGTTCATTAGAGGTTAAAAAGATTGCAATTGACATGTATAAGTAAATATATGTCCGATTTTTATTGAGCTCTTTCAAAAGTTTGAAAAAAGAGCAATTAGAGATTCACTATTTTGAACTATTTTTTCTTTTTATTTTTTCATGTGTTGGGCAGTTTTACAACAACTACTTCAAATTTGTTGCCACTGTGCCATATATATTTAGAATAAATGGAGATTTTTTTTATGCCACCCAGCTTTTGCTTAAGAGCCTGGGCTCTCTGCAGCAGAGGAACAAAGAATACAAGAAGTTATTTGATGTGTTTCTATGCTGGACAGGGATAATAAAATATTGTTAATTCCAGATGATGTTTATTGAGCATAATCTTACAAATTTCCAGTAACAGGAAGGTTTTTTGAAGTACCCAGGGACTCTGGCACAGAGTTTCATCACTTGAATTTCTGGAACATTTTCATTCACATCTTATCTAATTCTCACTGTTGCTTTTTATGCACTTTGCTTGCCTCGTCCTTGCATATATGCAAAAGCCTTCTGAGAGCAGTTCAGAGGAATTAAAGCACCAGTTAAGATTCTGGCTAAAGCTTTCATTATATCTCTCATAAAGGACAATTTTTATCCTTTGACAGTGAATGCAAACTCCTAACTTAGTCTTTAAGTTTGCACCTAAAAATAGGCACAGGAGGAATACACCTGTACATTTATCTTCCAGGGAATAGAAAGAAAGATAGTTTCACAAAGGAGCAAATTTCATATTGTGTAGATAAGAATGAACCCTTGGCTTGTAAAGAACCATCATGAATTCATCTCCTTGCAACTGGTAAGTTGTTCTCTCAGGTGTTAGTATCAGAAATCTGAGTCTTTTTCTCCTATATTGGATGGATGACATTAGAGCCAAATACCTTATAGTAAACTTCTGGATTCACTGTTGAGTGACATTCAGCAAAAGGTCCCGTGGTATCAGAGAGCAGTCCACACCAGTGCTGAGCATACTGGTCTGTGAATTGAAAACAAGGTAAGGATTTGTATGGCAGTGAATTTGCAAAACTCTTGTCTCAAGGTAACTATACCTCCTCCAGGGAAATTACAGAAGCTTAACATTACAATATCATTAACCTCTGCATTTGCTGAGGCACACAGTCTTTCACTTCCTCTAGGCAGAAGTATGACCGCTTTATAAACGGAATGTTCTCTAATTCATTATCATTGTCATGGAATAAACTAAAGGTACCCCTAGCTGAATTTTAAAAGGAGGTTCACACTGTAAAAAGATGAACAATGCTAGTTCATCTCAGAAAAAAGAAGACTAGCTTGTGAATACTCAAGAATTATATATTTTGTTGGCTGAAATGCAGCTTGAATACTTTCAGTCTCTGAACTGTAAGTCTGGTTCTTAGTTTAACAGTGGAAGGGCCACAGCCACAACCTTCAGAGGGGCTAGGCACAGCTGTGACAATGAGTCCTTTCCAGGAAAATGAATCCCTAATATGCTGTATGGTTCCAGTTTTCCTTAAGTATGTTGACTTGTTGTCTTGATCCAAAGGAATATATCTGAAGATCCAAAATATTTTGCTAGTTATTATTTCTTAATTGAAATTATTATTAAGAAATTATTATTATTATTAAGAAATTATTTCTTAATTGAAGACTTCTAGTGTCAGCTGAGGAAAATTATCTGCATGTGCAAATAGTTCTGTTATTTTGGCTAAATGCTTGGTGGCTGATCAGCTTGTTTCATCTTTGCATCTTAAATGAGAGTAGAAGAGGTGGCTGAGCTTACCATTCTGTATGCTGACAGTACAGGGGTCCTCAAAGGTATTTTTGGCATCAGGACAATCAGCCCGAGTTTTCCAAGTATTGCCAAAGGCAGCTGAAGTGCCCTCTATCACACCACTGGTGGTTTTGAAGTCATCTGTCTGTACATCATTGAAGTTTCCACAGAGACCTAGAAGGAAGCAGATGGTCTGTGCAAGTCTCTATGGGATGACAGGTACAGGTGAAGGCAGTTGTTAGGACAAGGTCACTCACCACAGGTCTGCCCTTTGTGTGATGGGTCTAAGTCTATAAAAACTTGCATTAAAGGCATGAGTTGAACCTGTAGCTGAAGGCCAAAGTTTGTTTGCATAATTATGAAGAAAGATGAAGGCCTGAAGATGGTGATGTTTGCTAGGAATACAAGAACAAAATAGTTATAACTTTATTCAAGATGAGCAGCTGAATTAGTTGTTCATTACAGATACAACACAGTAGAGGAATAGTAGAGGAATTCTACAGCTGTGTTTGATATGATCCTAATTTCTGAAGAACTGGGGGGAAAATGATCCTTACAAGATTTCAAATCCAGTACCAAAACAGTCCAACCTAAACATCTAAGCAACAAATGTATACAAAACCTCCACTTTCTGTCAAATGTTTTAAAATGAGGGAAGAACACACACATCTGTTGTTATTTAAAAGGTTGCCTTTTTTTTATGAAAATGCTATAGTGCTATTTAATTGAAGACTCCAATGGAGTCTGGAACTATTCTGTCCTTTTATGGTTTGATTTGTGTCCAGGTGCAGTAGTGTTTGAGAAGAACTGGCATGTGAGAAACTTCAGTGATTAATTTGCTTTGAGAACAAGGACAGGAGAACACAGGGAAGTAATGACTTGAGAAACTGGAGTCCAGTTTCACGTCAGAATTTTTCTTTCCTCTATTATGACAAAGTTTGGATCTGAAAGTGTGCAATAACACTATTTGTTTGAACTTAGATATTGCTAAACATAAACCATGATTTTGTTAAAGTTATTAGTGTTTAATAGGCAAATACTATTGAAAAAAAAGGGAGATAATGGTCTGTGGCAGTGCTCTGGGTTTGCTGCAGTGTAACAAGAGGTACAGTTTATCTTTAGTTTAACTCATGTAATAACATTTTAAAATAAAAATAAGAAATAGAAGTTTTTCAAAGGAACTTACCTGCTGAGAATGGTAACTGTGTGTAGATCATATTCACAAATACACTCCCAGAAGGCTGGATCACAATGTTCTGCCACAAGAAAAGACAATTATTAACAAGCAGATAAGTTAAATAATTTCCAAATGTTTCCTCTCTAGTACTACTCAAGATAAAGGGAAAAAAATGGACAGAGACTATGATGATGTTCTGATTCCTGTACTATTTCTTTAATCTTTATTACTGTGTTCCACTGACTGTCCAAGAAAGCAAAAACCAGAAGTTATCTAAATAACAGAAAGCTACTAAGATATTTTCTTCTAATCTGCATACTTTATTCTTAATTTTTATTTTAATGATGTTCAAATTTGATAAAACAAAAAGGCAGTGCAAATTTCTTGTCTGTGCTGTTAGGTGTCATTTGCCTTGTCTCTTAATCTTAGAGAACATCCCTGGAGGATGTCAGGTGTGTACATCTGCTGCTCACCGTTTGTCCTCCGTTTAGGCTGATGGCAACACCCTTGAGGCATGTCTCAGTGTCAGTCAGGCCACACTTGTGGATATCCCCCAACACGGTGAATTCATTGCTGTCACAGAGCTTGCAGAAGAAAACCAAAGATATTGTTAAAAAAGGATTTGCTATATTGAAATAGTTATCTCAAAAAATTCACATGCAAATGGAATTCTTAGTAAAGTTAGTATTTTAAAAATATAGTGTATTTCATTTCTTCTTGTTCTTATGGTCTAACATGTGTCTGGAATCACCAAGTTGGCATTCATGCAGTCTGCACACTGGAAGCTGTGCATTGCTTCTGGCTTTCAGGAGTGAGTTAGACATACTAATCTGAACATTAAAACTTCCTTGTGCATTAGTAAGATGAGTTCCTAATGTGTAAGTAATGCCTGTTTAGTATGCTAGAGCAGAAGGAGGTGTGCCTTTCTTGCCCACTGGTTAGGAAGTTTACCAGGGAGAGAAAAGATCGTTTCCAATGTCTTCTGCACTGAATAGCTTATTCAAGACCCTGGTGATTTGGACATTCTTTTAACAGGTAGGAAATATGGATTTAAATATGCTCTCATAGAAAATGAAACTAAAATAGTTATTCAGGAAGTTACTGCATAAAGGCTCAGATTTCGACTCAGTTTTGATTTTCATAGGACTGTGTTCTGTGAGCCATCATCAAAGTGTGCCTAATGGCCAAAAACAATAGGGAAAGACTCAAAGAAGGCTGTAATTCTGAATGTGGCTTATCACTTTTTTGGCATAGTGAAGACTAAATTGAGGGCAGCTGAGATGCAGAATTATAGCCTTCTAGAAGTTCAGGATTAAATTCTGGGGCCTTCTGAACTTTTGTGTACAAATTTAGGAGTTTCTCTGCCTCCACAGACCCTGAGAATCTAATTTTACATGTTGGTGCCAAAAGGAGGAGTTTAAGTCTGACCTATGCTGCCATTGTGCATCAAGGCAGTGCTTGTGAATCTTATCCAAAAGTTTCATTGATTTAAGCTAATCTATTTCTAAATCATCTCATTCTCACTCTTTTCTAAGATTTATGATTCTTTTTCTTGGTAACATTCAGATTGATCATGTCAAGAATATTTTATTTAATATTAAGTCCTTATAAAAATACTTGACCTTAGTCATTCAGTAAAAATAAACAATACACCTAGGGTTATGAAATCCAACATAAAAACTTAGTGAAAATCTTAAAAAATTGTCAAAGAACACAAAAATACTACAATATTATTTAGTATAACCCTAACATAAAAGGCCCTGAAATCCATTTTAGGATGTTAATCCTATAACCATGTTAACCATCAATTACCCAGAAAACTGATGCAATTGCCAGAAGTTTTCATCAAGCAACATTATATATAGTAAAAACATTTCCTTTAGCAAGGATTGTGACTCATTTTTACCTTGGTTAGGACGTAACTACAGTCTCCAAAGAAGGAATAGTATTTCTCATCAAATGTTGAAATGTGGGAACCTCCTTCAATACTGCAAGTCCCAGGGCATGACTGAGTGACACAAGACCATTCCCCTCCAACACAGGTACTGAAATGAAGGAGGCATTCAGTAACATTGGGTAATGCAAGTGTAAACAAAATAAAAAGGCAGTAAGGGCAGATGATGCCCTAATTTTCCTCTTGAAACACTGATCATACTGCCAAAGGAACCAGTATTGCTTTGAAATCTCAGACAAATATGGGGCAGGCACATTTATATTAAGGTGATAATTTTCTATATATGTTGTTGTTCATTTCCAGTCTTTGGACAGAATTCAATCCTGGCGAACTTGTAACCCTTGTCAAATATTTTAAGTATTTCTTGGAAAATAAATAAATAGGTAGGTACAGTTGCCTACACTTATGCAGTAATACTTCAGTAATTATAAGGATAATAAAAAAGATATATATTTGTCAAACATGCTTCTCAAATGTGATCTTCCACTCTAAATGTAACATGCCCCCAAATGTCATGTTCTCCATAGTATTCATATGAGACCTTAGCATTACACTGTAGTGCTGCAAAGATATAACACTAATTCACTTCTGGTATTTGACTTGGATTATCTTCCTTCATTGGTATTTCTTGAAATTGAAGCACCTATTCAAAAACCCAAATTTTTGTTCCAAATGTGAAGGGAAAACAGACATGGAAGTACCCTCTAAAGAAGTGTAATTATGGAATTCCAGTTGGTAAGTAATTGCTCATTTGTTTTTAAAGGGAAAATCAGTAAATATTCAGCTAATGCATAAAAACACTCCAACCCAAAACCCCAAAAAAACCAAAAAGTGAGAAAATATGTTACCATGATCTGCATTTAGATGAGAAGGAGGCACCAGGAGCATAAGTTTCACTTTCATAGGTACAGTGGCATTCTCTGCGGGGAATGCAGCCAGCACCATTAACATCATCAAATACCATTCCTAGGAAAAGAAAGGGTCTATTACTTATTCTGTGCACTGCAGAACCTGCCTTTGAATACACATCTAGCAGATGCCTGAGATTACATCCCATTTCTTCTGTATTTTAAAATAATAGGATGCAAGTTAAGCAGAGTTTGAAGGGCTATAGTCCATTGAAGTCTATCTAAAAATCTTAGCATGATCAAAAAGGACCTCTAGGAAAATTCCTTTCTGTAATGTGTTTCATTAGAATGGAATTAGGATTAAAACTATTAGGTAATGATCTGGAATAGATGAACCATTTGTAAGACTGCCCAGGGACATATCTGTACAGTAAATATTTCTGTGCCCAGAGACAGAAGATTGCCTTAGAGAAATCAATGCTACAACACAAACAAGTGATGATGAATTCTGTGAAACATGGGGATGGGCAGAGCAGCTGCAAGGGGTGAAGCTCCTGTGATACACAGTCACAACAGCAGCAAAAATTTAGACCCAAAAGTATGTACAGAGAGAACACATCTATCTTATACTGACACACGGTTCTTGTGTGCAATTCTCTGAAGGACCAGATCTAACACACTGCCTAGTGGCTCTATCAACTCTTTGTTTAGACACACAACACTTGACAAGAAAGGTTTGGTAATTTGTGGAACCAGATGCAGCTTTGCTAACAGCAAAGGAGTTACGACTGCATGCAATATCTGCTTAAAAACTTCATACTTTTGGTGAACCGAGTTTGAATGCTGAGAATAGAAGACTCTGCTGTTATCAGGAGCAAATTATCTTATTCGCAGTTCAGTCATTTTATATATATGTACATAAAAAATAGATCTATAAAAGCACATTTGTTGTTTAAAAGGTCATGTTTAGTAATATGAATAGAAACAGTACATCCAGGGGAGAAATGTAGCCATTACTTCAATGATAATAATACTGATGATGTGATGGGAATGATCCAGAGTACAAAAGCTGTTAAATGTGTACAGGTGAGTATTCTAGGGGGGTTGGTATGAGAAAAGGGCAGGAAATGAGCTTGCCTGGAGGACAAACGCAGCCATCTGTGCAGTGATCTTCACAAAGTGCAGATCGTTCCGGGTTGCTGCATGTGTCAGAGCAGGGAGAGCCACACTCGTGGTACTGCATGTTGAACGGACACGATTTGGCTAAAAGTAGAAAGAGTATTATAAAGCTGACTTCTCACTTAAAAGTTGGAGACAGCATTTTTTTGCAGTTTAGGTTGTTTTCTGTCAAGATATGACAGGGTATCCTGATCCAAATGGAGGCCTGAAGCATTTTAGATATTTTGATTCATATTGAAAATCCCCTAAACTTCCATATTCCCAAACTCTTGTGCATTACCAGGTAAAAACTGATTTCATTATAATTGTGCACTTTTGAACTACTGCCTTCTTCAGGGAAAAACCTCACATGTGTGAAGTTTGCTAGATGTGTGTAGTAAGCACAGGTGGAGGTCCCTTGCTGAGATACTCACGGCACAGGTCTGAGGTTCTCCAGTTCAGGGGCTGTCCACCTGCATGAGCACACTGCCGGGAGTACTCAGCAAAGGTGTTGCACATGCAGAAGTCAGCCATGGAGCTGTCACAGTGGCACAGGTCTTGTATGCAGGTTTCAATGTAGTCCTGGACGTTCACAAGCATGTTACAACTCGTAAATGCTTTGCTGGTTAATACTGTCTCACAGATAGAAGCCTAGGAAAGAAAAAAGAAAAGGTAAACAAAGTGTTAAGAACATATGAAAAAATTATTTCAGGCATGGAGCAGAACAAATCAAAGATTGATCTCATCCAGAAACCCTTCCAACAGTATCTATAAGCTGATGTTTAAAGAAAAATATAACAATAGGGCAAAACCACATGGAACTCCTTTGAATAACTCTAGTAGTTTCCATATCCTTAGTTGCTGTCACCTCAAGTCACTTCCCAAGCATTATATATTGTCTTTATATTAAGACCTCTTCAGTAATTTTCTCTTTCAGGAAAATATACAGACTTCTTGTAGAAGGGGAATGCAAATTTTTGGCATTCACTTTAGCAAGGAATACAACATGAAATTAAGAATATTTTTTTGAGACCTACAGCTGAGTCATATTCATGCTCTATTTTCCCCCCGCCTTCTAGAACATTTTTTCTAAAGACAGAGAATGTATTCATAGCGATAAAACAAATTTTGAGAGAGAGGTTCTTACAAAGTCTCTTGAGCAGTTCATCAGAGAAGTAGGAGGAATAGGATCATCACACTGCTCTGTGGGTCCATCCATCTTCTGCCTATTACCAAACTGTATGGGGGTCAGTTTTGTCTCTGTAAAAATACAGTTCAAATATTAGAATAATGCTTACTAAATTTTACATGGAGTTATTTGCTTTTGTGGCACTACCTGCTATGATGTGAACAGTGATTACCAAACAATATCACTATAATATGAAAGGGAAAATATGAACAGCATATATAAAAAACTGGATCCTAGCAATTGAAAACAAGTAGATTTTTTTATGTGGCAGGTCTTAAAATATCTATCAGTGATGGAAGCAGTTTAATACCTCTCAAAGTCCTGACTTAGCACAACTGACATCACAGGAATACATGGAATACCCCCAGTTTTCCAGTTGATACAACCCACAACCTATATTAAAGTATATTCTAAGAAAAAAGAAAAAAAAACCACCAGTACTTAATAATGTTTTTTATTACTTACTCCCTGAAATAAATTCATTGCTGACTGGAATTCCATTGAAGTCCCCACAAAGTCCACAAGTTTGATTGGCATATTTCTTATCTAGTTCCACCTAAAAAAAAAAAAAATTAGGAAAGAGGTTTATAGAAATGGAAGTCTTGACAGTAAGGAGCACAGTTTATACCAGTACTGCTTGTGTACTCAGAATTTGAGATATGGTTGTTGTGGTGGCTGTGCTGTGTGATAACAAGGTAGGCACTATTAGAATGGTCAGGGATGACCAAGAAATCTAGTTCTTATCCTAGTCCTGGATTGTGAACATAAATACTTTGCCAGGTCTGGAATCTCAGGAATACTTCATGGTGAGGTAGGAACATTAGAATTTGGCATCTATTGATTCTGAGCTGAGCTTGGTGGGTAAAAATAGGAAATTGAGAGAAGACTGAAAGACAAAACAAAACACTAAAAATGGGCACAGATCCAAAAGTAGTAATGCCTGCCTGGCTGTAATACTGCAAAGGTGTAAAAAGACTATTTTCAAAAAACACAGTTTCTGCTGTATTTTGGATGTTTTCTTACCAGGAGGGCATCTTGTCCATTCCAAAGGAAGGTCAGTCCCAGCTTGGCAGAAACTTTCAAATAGTTGTTACTCCTCTCTATGAAGACTCCCATATGGCTGTAGGGCATCTGGACCCTGGGGAAAGATCATCATAAGTCAGCGGGGTAGGGACAGAATATCCATTGAAAGGATATCGTTGTGGACATTCTCATTCTCTTTGAGAATTTTCAACATGTGTCTGAAGAAATTAGAGCAATAACTACTACAGACAACATAGGTTTGGAATATTTTGTCTATTTCCTATGCAATTGCCTCTCACTGTGCAAATAGATTGGCCTTGCTTTTCCTATTGTTCCTTTTGGTTTTCTCCATTTAAGGGTGTTTCGCTGGGTAAAATTTTAGCATAGATCTGTGGTTGTATTGTTCAAAAAACTGCTGGGAGGCTCTGTTTGTAGGCAGTGTGCTTCAGGATATTGCTATTTACCCCTTGAAGCATTTGCTAATAAAGGGATAGACTCCAGGCTTTTTGTGACATGAGTGCCATTCAGGAAGCTGTACCCAAGATAACCTTTAGACTAATTCACTGTACAAAGCTGCCATAATAGACAACTCACTGTGGGATAGCTGCCCAAATATTTACCTGGCCTTTTGGGTAGGTTTCACACCCTATGTCAAAGTCAGTGCTACAATTGCTACGTAGATAGCAAGTTTGCAGAACACAATTTTAAATTAATTCAGGTACAAGCTGCAAAGCAGTCACTGCTTTACTGCACATTGTTCAGTGCAAGGACAAAAACTGTCAAAAATACCTTGCAGGGATTCTGCTGTGCTAAACCTAATGGAACCTACTAACTTCAAGGATGTAAAGAATACAGTTTATAGACTTAATTGCATCCATACACACACACATTATTGTAGCAGTGGGACAGCATATTGGATACAGCTCACCTGAAAAAAAACAGCCACAGCTGCACAAGTGACACTTAGCTTGCTGCCAAACCCTCCTTTGTACTACTTCAGGAAGGACCTGAGCCCTACCATTGCTTGGGAGCAATGATGAGATGAGGGAAAGGGATACTTGCTCAAAGAGCCCACTGGGAACAAGGTAGGAACATACAATTTGTTGTCGAGCAGGACAGAGCTGGGGGTCAGTTCGATCACTACTCCTTCCAGCTTCATGAAGACATGAGTGATCACAGTAGCATTTTCCACCATTGCACGCCTAATCTGGATGTTGAAGTCCTCGTAGGAAGACTTGCAGTTGGATGCAAAGATGTAATTGCAGACCCCAGGGAAATAAAAGATGTCCCCATCAAAGGTCTTGAAGTGGAAGTTACCCCATGTACTGCACACACGGCCATTGTGAGAAGGGTTGCCAGCTGCGGATTCAAAATAAGCAGTAAGAATTTTCTGTAGTTTTTGTAATACCCTCCCTGTAGATGTTTTATCCCTCCTGCTTCTTTCAACAACCTCTTTCCAAAAGCTTATAATCTTTTTTCTGTTTTGTCAAGGTATTTTTTTGTCATTGTTTATTGATTTCAGTTGCTTTTTGTGCTTAATCAGTTTTGCATAGGGATATAGGGCCTAGGATCAAAAGAGACCTCTGGGGTCACTAGAACCAGTGCTCTAGTTCTGATGACTTCCCTATCCCATATATCCTTTCCTAAATGTATGGAGTCCTCAAGTTCCACCATAAAACCATTTTAAAGCTAATTTACAACTAGCTGACACTCCTACTTGGGAAGGCCACTCATACCCATGACCTCTAAATGGCTGGAAGACTTTTGTCAGCATCTTCGAAAACATATTCCTGTCCCATGTATACCTGGTGGCTCTTGTGCCAAAATTACACTTCACCTTGAAGTGTCCAGGGTCTTGAATAATCTCCCTACTCCTCCTCCAGCCCATTATAGAAAGCTCTTCTTTCATTTCAGTCTTCCTTTCCTAGCAAACATACTCTCCAAAATCCCTGGTTATCTTCCCAAACCCTTCCCACATTTACACTCAGCCTGCTTGAATTGTACCCTATTTCCTAGATAAGCTGTCTCAACAGTTTTTAGCACACTAAGTTTCCTCTCTTTACTGGAAATATGTATAATACTGGGGAAAAACATGTACAATATGTATACATGTTTAAATATATATATTAATTTTTTTTCTTACAGCTGCATCCTAGAACAATGAGTCAAAAGCACGGATTTACATATAGATTATCTGTGCTACCTGATTAATTAATTCTCTGTTAATTTTTTCTTTTATGATGCTAAAGGTTCTTACACAATTTACTGGGTTTTTTTCAGTCACTCCATGCTCTCTCATTAACAAGGCCACAGATACCTGAGCCAAGACATTTGCTTAACTTACCCTTTACTTTCAGTGCATTTTGAAAAGGTGGAATGATTGTCACTCCTTGGGATTTGAAAGCTGGTAGAAAATAGAAAGGAGAAAAAATGGCCAGGTTTAATCTTTTCTGAAGTCCTAAAGCATGGGTAGAGATTGCCTAGTGTTTTTTGTGAATAATATTTCCTACGACTAGTTACACTCCAGTGGAAAGTTTTCATTGCTGGTTTTTACAAATTGCTTTGTGTTCTGTCTTTCTATAAATTTCACTAACAGCTAAATTGCACAGACTGTAGTACTTTCTTCCACCATTTGTTCGAGACTCCCATCTGATGCTGGCCCTGAAGTGCTGAATTCAAAAGCAGCAATATGATCCTTAGAGCACTGTATTATAATACTGATTACAACAGCTTTTTTTAAATAACCTGTGGCACACATTTTTCAGGGCAGACTTAATTATCAGTTATTTAGGCTTGTCATCATTAATACACCAGTCAGCTTTGGATCCTTCCACCCTTGTTTTGCACTTTACAGTTATGTGTCATGCATTACCTTGTAGTACTTAATTATTCTAATGTTTAAGGTAGTTACAGCTTTCTTATTCTCTTGTGACTGATGCAGTCATCTTGACAGAATGTAAAAAAATGTGCCTTTTATTACCTACTATCAAGTACCTTGGTGATATGTATGTAAACACACACCTCTTCTGAAAATACACTTTTAGATATAAGTTATGTACCTTTCGTGAAGTCAAAGATTAGATAACTGTATCATATCAGTAGAGCAGATCCACTGGGCCAAATCTCGGAGGAAGTTCTCAAGCTTAGAGCAGTCAGAAATTGTCTGAGAGCTGGATATATTGTACAGAGGATTTCTCTTTTAATGTATGTGGTATGTGTGTAGCTAGGAATCAAAATATTCTAGTAATCTTACTATTTATCACCCTTATTTGGAGCAAAACTTTAGAGAGAGATCAGCATAAAAATACCTACTTTTTTGTCGCTGCAGGAGAGATGGAGAAACATACTCTGACTTTGTTGGTTGTTCACCACCCTGGGCTTGAACTGCATCAGGAAGAGTAGCAAAGGAAATGTGAATGCTTAATTTTCTTGAGCCCCCTCATAATGTCTCTATTTTATCTATTTAAATATCCAACATTCAGCATATCAAAGATATGTTTATGTACAGGTGGCCGGAAATGCATCAGGACCCATGCTACATGCAATCATGATGGCCAAACACCACTCCTTCAGCATTTTCCTTTTTCCACTTTTTGGGTAATAAATTACTGCAGGAAAGCCATCAAAAACATGCCTGTGGTGATTTGAGCAGGTCCTTATTCTGTTACAGTATACCCCTGGATTCCCTTAGAAGCTTTTCAGATAAGGCCCTAAATTTCTTAAATTTTATGATCACTCTGTGCTTTAAGTATCAGTGAAACCTTTTTTGCTAGCTAGATGGCTTTCAAATAAGTCCCTTTTGTCCAAGAAGAATTCACTTTAGGGTTAGAGGACTTTGATCTTTGTCAAAGACAAAGTTACTCTGTATTTTATAGCTTCAAGCATTCTTTGCAATAAGCCACAGAAGGAAAATAAATGCAAAGGCCAAACTGCACTGAAGGAAATAGGTCTTTTCCAATAGATACATTTGTGCCTGTTGATTTTGCCCCAAAGCAAAGAAACAATTTTTCGTTCCATTCCACTGCAGCATCAGAATTAGAACACATGCATTATCCAGAGAGGCTTTCAGTGCTGTGTTTAGTGAGAGTGCATCAGAGGGCAGGGTGAGGTGAAGACTGTTCTGGCCAGAGAAAGCTGCAAGGACAGGTTCACACCCTTGGGGTGCACCTTACCAGGGCAGTCTGTGGATAGGAGCACTAGAGGGGCTAAGGCTGAAAGCAGAACTGTGGGGAACTCTGCAAGTCCCCTCCTGGGGAAAGAGCTGTTGTTAGAGGACACGTGTCCCTTTTTGATGTAGGAACCATTCAGTGCTTCTGGGCTCCCTCAGTGCCCAGCCCCAGAGAGGTTTTTGCTTCTCTCTCCATGTACTGCGTGGCTCTGCTCTGTCTCATGCCACATGCACTGCAGATCCCTGCTGCCACTGCATGTTTTGCTAATGCTACAGCTAGTCCTGTATTCTTTGACACTGCCACTTCTTAACATAAGTTACTATGGAACTGCCTAGGAGCAGGAAAAATATGAACTCATACAGTAGGATCTGCACGAGAGATCAAAATGCATTTAAAACTAACATTCTTGTTACCTTAAAAGGTAAATTATCAGGTGAAAAAAGGAAAAAAAAACAATGAAGAGGTTTCCATCCATCTGTGACTATTAAGTTCCCTGAGAATATTTATAGCAGTACCATTTGTTTTCAACTCATTGCAAACCAATCTTGTGTGCTAAGCTTTTATTAAACCTCATAAGCAGGAGCAAATTAATTTCTAAAACCTATTGCCTGATGATTTTCAGACAAAATCCTCCCGTTCTTCAATACTGTATCATAACCTGATAAACAGAGTCTTTAATAATTCATGCAGACATACTCCTCTCAGCTGATTTGTTCCTTTCTAGAGGTACCTTGGCACCTTTTGCTTTGTACATTTAGAAATGCTATACCACCTTAAAGTGGATATAAAAAACTAAATGCAAATCTTAAGGCATTTTTGTAGACATATAAGTTAAGAGAAAGTTCCACTCAATGCAGTGGAGCTGTTCCAGATTTCAGCTGGAGAAAAGCAGGATGACAGTTTCAAAAGAGTTAACTTTCTCTTCTTAGGAAAGAAAGTATTTTAAGCAGTAAATAAAATCTTGCATGAAGGTAACAGGTTCATTAACTTCACAAAGCCAAAGGAAAAAAAAATGCTTAAAACTCCAAAGTTATAAATTCTTTAAAACAGTAAAAATGCCAAGCAAGTGAATCTTCCTACCTTTGATCTGTATGAAGACCAGGGCTAATATTGATATCCATAGTGGTATTCGTGTCCCACCACCTTTACCCATCTTCTGGAGGTCCGGTAGAAACTACCGAACAACCTGCCTCTGAGGAAATACCTGTCTGTTCCCAAGTCTTATATAGTGAGAGAGTAGAATTTGGCTCAGTTCCCAGATTGTTTCACAAGGCTCTGAAAAGGTGGGGCTTCAGACATTTTCGTTTTCTTTTGCAGGTGCAGAGGTAAATAGAGGATGCTCTGACTTTCCCTCAGCTATTTACACTCTAGGAGGAGTCTTCTTTCCATGTTTTTGAGGAAATATCATGAAGTGAGCAAGAGGAATTTTTGCTTAAGCTTAGTTTTCCCAAATTTTTGTTTCTTGTGGGATACACACAATTTAAAAGACTTCTGGGTGACTTCTGAGCAGAAAGTATGAGTGAATTACTTAACTTTTTTTTTTTTCCTTCTTCTTAGGGCAAGTGATGATAATTAGCTTCTCAAAAACCTCCAAAGAAGTTCCACCTGATACAAATTTTTTCCAATTAGTTTGCACCTGCCTATGGAGCTACTTTGCTTGTGAAAATGAAGAAATCAAATGCTATTTAAGGTCATCAGTTATCCCTCTGGCCAAGGAAAACACAGGTGTACACAATGAGAATCCTTCTGTGTTGGCAAGTCAGGAATATGGCCCTTTCCTTAGGGACTCCTCTTCTCATATGGGCAATTTTAGGGTTATTTCCTTTCTGAGTAAATATGATTTCACCATTAAAAATTAGTTGGATTCTACCTATGATTAAAAAAATCCATGTGATTTCTAGCCCTAGAGATATTAAAGGACAGATATGCAAGAATATTTTCTAGAATATTCCTTATCTTAGGAGCAATGAGGCAGTGAAGAATGCTTTTCAAGTATGTTAAAATAGTAATTTACAGCTATAGTACTTTGGGAAATTAACCTTTTATGGTGGTTTATGCTGGGGTGTAGAGAAACACAGTCTTTCACTAAGAGAGCAGATCCCATAATCCCACATGGGTTCAAACAGTTCCTGCAAAGATGAAGGTATTGGTATAGTCTCTGTATTCTTTGGAGTCATAGCAATGTTCAAAATGGAATGGAGTTTAGCTATTGGAGGGATGTTAGAAGTGTATTGAAAAGGTAGTGAAATACTCATTTAGGTTGCCTAGGAATACTGTCCAATTTCCATCACTAGGTTGGTAAAACATCTACATGGGAATGGTCTAAGTGCTGTTGATAGTGCTCTGGGGCAAGGACATTGACTGAATGTCCATTTGAAACTCTCTCAATCATGATTTTCTATTATGTTTTATGAAAAATTATCATAGAATCATAGAGTTGTAGAATGGTTTGTGTTTGGAAGGGGCCTTCAAAATCATCCAGTTCCAACCCCCTGCCATGGACAGGGACACCTTCCACTAGACCATCTTGCTCAGAGCCCCATCCAGTCTGGTCTTGGACACTTTCAGGAATGGAGCATCCACAACTTCTCTGGGCAGCCTGTTCCAGCATCTCAGCCACCTCACATGAAAGGAATTTTTTCCTAATATCTCATAAGAATCTACTCTCTGTTAGATTTGAAGAAGTAACTCCAACACTAAGAGGGAAATAAAAGGCACAATTTTTACCTGAGCAGCAAACAAAACTAAGAAATATGCTGGTTGTCCTGAACATTTTAAGAGTACAACTATTTAAATAAAGGTGACCTAAAAAAATTGAACTGGAAGTTTTGAGGGAAAGAATTGTTCAGATTCAGCCATGAATTATACCTTTGGCAACTTCATTGATGTGTAAGTCTGTACAATTTACTTAGCATTATTTAACAAGGAAAAGAAGATGGCTACAAGATACTTGTACATACAGAAATACATGCAGTGAAAATTTAAGCAAATATCATTGTCTCTAATGATTATTATCAAAGTTCCAGGATGAAGATCTAGAAAAAAAAAATAATGGATTTAAATGGTATGTAATTAAAGTAATGATAAAATAGTATGGTAAACTCATGTGGGTAACACACATAAACTGATTAAGAGATTATGTTAGTAAGAAGAAATACATACTTTATGAATCATTGTATTACTTATCACTAAAAATCACTTCATATCAACAGTTGCTATGCTGTGGTTTCATATACATTTCCTGCATGTTCAGGGAAGCACTGTGATCTCTGAGACATTCCAGTCTGGTCATCACTATTAGGCTGAAACTGGTTTACAGTTCAGTTTAACCCCTTTAACTGAGCTTTAAGGCACCATCAGAAGTGATTCCCTATGTCTATATTTTTGACTGGAATTTTCAAATCTCATATATGTAATGAATGAACTATCATGACACTAATAAATGGTTAATTCATTTACTCTGACATATGACTCTTGCCATATTAAATTACTTATCTTGTGCTATTTCTTCTCAGAAATTACTATGAAATATGTTAAAATGTATGAGACTTGCAAAAATAATCTCAAATATTTATGATAAATTGATTTAGTAGCATTATTAATTATTCAAAGAAATAATTCCTCTTCAAATTGTATTTCACCTTTTTCACCTTCATTCACTCAATAGACATATACAGGTGATATGGGAGAGCATATTTTAAAAATTAGTTGTAACATGTCTGATTTTTGTACCTCATTATCAAATCCATGCAATTGACTACATAAATGGAAATATTAATATGTTAGAAGAATTTATTGATGTATCTACTTTTTTTTTTTTTTAGCAGAAAAGATAGAGGATTTTGCCATTGCATTTGGTCTGGAAACCCTGAAATTTCTTTCTTTAGTTTCTCTTCCTTTTTCACAGGATCATATTCCTACTCTCTGCATCTGCAATATTGAATGAAATATTTCCGTAAAAGAGTTGTTAGCATTTTCAAATGCTTTCTTTTTAACCCGATGTGATTAAATGCTACAGAGTGGTGATGTTATTTACACATTATTCATTATTTCTGAATCTTCTTCTTCATAAAATTAGATCATCATATCTTATCTTCATAGATACCCACTGTAGAATGCAAATAAAATGTGAGAGCAAACTTGGTTAACTTTTGGGTGCAATAATGCCTGAAATCAGTGTCTCCATTTTTAGTTAAAAAAGACAGAATGATGAACACGTAGGGACATGCAAAACGTTGTCTAGTCCACCTGGTGCCGTCCTGGAGTAGGGAGTATTCATTTCAAGGGAAGGAGGAAAGCAACGTGTAACTGACAGGAATTTCAGCACTTCCTCTCTGTGTCAGGGCTAAAATGCAAGTTAACAAGGCACTGCCTGCTTGATTTTTCTCTGGCTGGTCATTTGGCCACATCTGAAGCCATGTTTCAGCTCCAGAGTGATGCTGGGACACTTGGCATGGAATTTAGCTGAAGTACCATACTGATTGTCCCTGAATTTTGACCTGTGCAAATTCAAATGCATTATTTTTATCTGGAAGCTTCTATGGAAAAGTGAGGTAACTGATCAATTTCAGCTTAAAAGTTGTTCATGAACATTATAGGTGTTCTCTTATGTGAAGATGAACTTCATTTCAATCATCTGCAGTTAAGTATTTCATAGTCTACACAATATAGTCTCTCTAAAGTAAAACTATCTAAAGTTAGTCTAAATTAAAGACTAAAACAGGGATACAACTCCTTTTATGTTCTTTTCTAGTCAAACACAGAGCCATTGATCCATTCCTTTAGTTCCAAATGCTTAGATAAAACTCATTAATTGAAAATCAAATCACATTATAACTGAGATTTTAAGCCTTTTCATTAATATGAGTAGTTCTCCTATATTTTATTGTGTGCATTGTAGAGGAACATAATGCTCTAACCTCCATTGCAATCTCTGTGTTTTACTTAGAAACAAGTAATACGTAGCTTGATTAAGATCTGTTTCTGATCTGTTAATTTCAAAGTTTAAAGTGTCATTTAGAAGAACCCAAGCAAAGCATAACATTTTAAATCAGGCACTGGAGACTGACAAGCTGCAACATAAGAGGCTGGTTAATACTGATATAATTAGGAAGCAAAAGATATTGAGTATAAGGTCTCATTTTATTTAACCATTATCCTCTGGGAAGCAAATCCATCAGAGAACAACTTAGGGTACTGTATTAAGACCTTTCCCCTATAGAAAGCTAGTAGAGATCCTGTGCAGAGTTAGTAAAGGAAAAACAATGTGCACCCTGTACCATGAGGAGTGTGAACATGGGGGCCAGAATAGGGCTTCCATGTTGTCTGAACACGTCCGGGATATCTCTGTGTATAAAAGGGATAAACACTTAAGCCTCTTTACAGTTTGTAAACACAGACACCACAACCATGGATGCCAATATTTGCAATTGGTATTATAGACTAAAAAACTGATGTACACACACATACTGGAGGGCATGTTTGTGTTGTGCAGTGGTGCGTGTTGCAGCTAGCAGCTGCCAAGGTAAATTCATAATAGGAAATAGTGTCACTGCATCGATATGAAGTTGCACCTAAGAGAATTTGCTTTTTTCTGAGCCACTGACACTGCAACATTGTGTTTGGGATCAGAGCTCTGCTTAGACCTATGCAATGCCATAGGACCATTGCTGCATTGTGTACAGCCAGCTGAAAGCTGAGGTCTGTTATACAGTGCTTTAGTGACCCAAATCAAAAATCAGTCTTTTGAAGCAATTGGTGTTTGCATGCTCAGAGAATAAAATAGTACAACTAGTCAAAAAGTGGGTGAAATGGAGGACTATGCTGAGCAGTATCTATAACTCTCAAAGGAACCTGTTGATGCACAAGCTCAAAAAAATCTGTGTTAATATACTGTGGTGAACATAATTCTGCTGAATGACAATTTGTTTGTTTGTTTGTATTAATATATACTAAAGACTGCATATAAGTGGAGATATATATATATATATATATATATATATATATATATATATAGTATTACCACTAGCAAGTCTTGTCAGAAGTTCTATTATAAGACCCTTGAGTATAGTCCCTTATCTTAAATCAGTAGCAGACATTCTTATTTAAAAAAAAATGCATGGAGGATATAATTGAATGCATACAAGCAAGGAC